GAAATTGGTGAAAGAAAAAGTCAGAATTTCGAAACGCCAATGTAATTAAGAAAATACCCAAGAGATGGAACCATCAACAACCCTTCCTCATCGTGGGCTCCATTGTAACAAGATCGATTTCGAGAGATGAACAATTCGATGAACAATTTAACTTTTATTAGAGTTTAAGAACAAAACTTTATAACTATTTGAGTAATTGAATAACTTTTACTTTTTTCTTAATTTGTTGATTACAATTAGTTTATGATAGGGAAAGAAAAACAGAAAAAGAGAGAGAAAGAGAGAGAAAGAGAGAGAGAAAGAGAGAGAGAAAGAGAGAGAGAAAGAGAGAGAGAAAGAGAGAGAGAAAGAAAGAAAGAAAGAGAGAGAGAAAGGGAAAGAGAAAAGTAAACTTCTTCACTGAAGTTATCCTTTTCTATTCGGGATAAAAAAACTTAATGATAATTTTCATTTTAGTCAATTTCTTTTATATTAAATGGAGAAAGAGGAGAAAGAGGTAAAAAAGAAAGAGAAGGAGAAAGAGAGATGATGAGATTATCTCATCATCATCAATTTAAAATTAATTGTTTCCTCAAAAAAAACCCAAAGTTGGAAAAACAAATAATTATTACCTTTTTCCGGTAATAAACGATAAATTTTATTACATATCTAATAGCCTAATATTATATTAAATTGAGATAACAATTGAATTAACTATGACTCACTTTCTTTTCTGAATCGCGTGCTAATATCTGGATCAGTATAATGATGTGTAAAATTTAGCAGATATTGATGTTGCAAAGTTGAATTGCGAGTGATGTAAACATTGATATCATCATAGTCATGAGAAATCGGAGTGTTTTGTTTTGGCTTTTTTCGAGTCATTCAAGTGTCTTTTCAAAGGTTTTGTTTGCATTGTCGTAAGCTCTCGTAGATGCAAACATTGACTCAATCCTATCTCTATTAAAGATAAAAACTATTGATTCAATTCAGATAAATTGGAAACATTGCATTGATTATATTGGCATGTTTTGTTTGTTTTTGCCTAATTCAAGTGTCTGTTCAAAGGTTTTGTTTACATTGTCGTAAGCTCTCGTAGATGTAAAAATTGATATCATCCTATTCCTATTGAAGATAAAAGTAATCGACCATTAGCTTGAAAACTCTAATATATTTGAATTCGACGTTAATCTCAATGTCTTGCATGATTTCTTATACATTCGTTAACAGTTTTCATGGTCGTTGCCTAGCAATATAATCTTTTGGGCTGGTTCAATAATTAAAAGATAAAAAAAACCAGTATAAATGTCCACATTTTTCAATCATCTGCTCTAGACAATAAATACTTTTGATCTAAAAAGATCGATTGCTCGCATTATTGGTAATAATTGTCATATTGGGTAAGACTTCGGATTAGGTCCGCACGTTTAGAGACCTGAAATTTTTTCTACATATAGCTTATGTCAAACTACATATTATGTGCGAGTGTGGAATTGAGGAAAGATCTAGTTCCTGAGATACAGGGCTTCAAAGTTGGATTTTGCCATAGAGCTCTATGGGTAAAAATGAAGTTTTCGTACATGTATATGCATACTAATGTCTTTTACTTCTTGATTTTTGTATATGTTATACCTTATGGTATTGTGAGGAGATAAATTTGATAAAGATGATTTCCTTTGCTCTTCGTTCGGTGTAGAAAGATTTAAAACAATATCTCGACTTGTGGAAGGTGTATCGTCATGTAGAATAGAGTTTTCTCCTGTATCTAAACGCTCATGGGTGATGATGTGTAAATTTATCAATTCGTTGAAAGTCAAACCAGAAAATATAAGTTTTTGCATAAACTCTATTTGTTGATTACTAAACCTCATCACTAAGTTCCAGATCAGCTAATTCGTCGTCCAGTATTAGTTCCAGGAACCAGTCTTCTGGTCCAGTTATTGATAAGTGAAGCAAAATCAGTAGATCAATTATTTCCTGTATGGGTCCTTGAATCTGGACTACTACCGCTGTTAACTCTCTTAGGTGTTTGCCTATGGACATTCGAGTTTTGAAACTTAGATCAATTCGATACAGTTTATTTCGCCTTGAACCTAAAGCTGTCTATAGTTGTGATGGTACTTACGTTGACCTTAGCAAAAGATTTCGATAACTCTAGTAGCGATAATGATTCGTAAAACTCTTGATCTTCGATGAAAAGCTTTATTATGTCTAGTATAGTGATTGGTCAATACAGGGTTATATTCAGTGCAATTAATATGCGAGTAATAATAATTAAAAGGATGGTAAAGTACCGTGAAAAGAAAATACTCTCAAGATAAATGTTGTCTCGATGAAATTGTTACCCTTGAGGCGGAAGTTTAGCGTAATAGACGTTACGACTGGTGATGAGGAGTACAATATTTAAGTTCCAAAGCGATTCTTATGGCGAAGGATCGTAGGTTAAGGTTACTGTTTATGATGAGATATGATTATGATTTCGAATAAAAGGTAAAAGGTATGCTAATATGGTTAAGGACCAAATAAATTTCCAATGAAGGTGTCAACACTGGTAAAGGTTCGGATGAAATGGATAAGGAGTTGATAAACGGTTGTGGTCAAGATAAAGGATCGAAGGATAAAGTCTAAAACTAAGTTGACCAGGTTGACTTAAGGTAATGGATCAATGGTACAAGTACATAGCATGCAAAGGTTATGGATAAGGTGAAGGATCAATTGGTACAAAAAGAATAAAAGAAAAACACTCAAAAGCCTAAGGCTTACCTTGTTGATGATTCTGATACGGGTCAGTCTGAGAGGGAGCTGAGCGGCGGCTTGGCAGCAAAGGAGGTTCTGGTGAACACAGCGATGATGGTAATGGTGAAACTGAGGGACACAAAATTTGAGGTGGTGGCGAACACTATTTATTTAAAATATTTAAATAAAACTTCTTAAGAGAAGAGTAGCACTGAGAGAGAGAAAGAAAAACAACAAAGTGTTGATGTTGCTGATGCAAATGTTGGACTGTAAATGACTTCGCAACCCTCTGTCTTTCTCTCTTTCTCTTTTATAGCCAATTCGGCCCATTGCGAAAGAGAAAAGACAGAGCAAAAGAAAGAGGTTTGACCCCCAAACAAAGAGAAAGAAAGAGTCTCTTTCTTATGGCCCCAAAGTTAATTGGATGCGATCTTAAACTTTTCCCGCTTTTCTCTAGAGAGATGGTCATTTATAATGTCCACCTTTCCTAATGTTTTCTCTCCCTCCTAAAAGTAATTTAGTTTTCCTGCTTAATGTAGAAATGGTAAAGTCATAAAGAAGGCAATTTCCCTGGAGAGAGGAGGAGTAAAGATACATACATTTACTTCTCCTCTCTTGTCAATGATAATCAAAATTAATAGGTTTTTGGGAGGAAAAACTCCCAAATAAAAATAATAACATTGGGGTGAGAAGGGAGGTTATGATACTTTTGTGTGTGCTAATATCTTGACTTTTATCCCCTCACAGTATGGAGTATTATCATGAAAAAAATTAAGACTCTAGCTACCACGGGCGAGTACTTATAGTGTGTTCTTTATGAGACTTTATTCGTCTTTTACTATAATTAATGAACCACAACATATAGAAGTACTAAATTTAGTTGAACATCAAGTCAAGGTCACACGATAATGTCAAGGTCATTTCAAGATCATTAAACAATCTATTTTCATTTACTTTTTCACGTAGTTTTAGTTTAGTTTAGTTTAGTACTTTTGCACGTAGCAAAAGCGTATTCATTTACATGCATTTTAGAATGCGCGCTAGTTTTGCCGTGTCAGTTTAGAGCTAAGTTTAGAGTTTATGGCAAAATCCAACTTTGAAGCCCTGTATCTCAGGAACTAGATCTTTCCTCAATTCCACACTCGCACATAATATGTAGTTTGACATAAGCTATATGTAGAAAAAATTTCAGGTCTCTAAACGTGCGGACCTAATCCGAAGTCCAGCCTCATATTGTGATCACAGTTATTCTTACTAATAAAAACTGGTATGTGAATTCAATAAGCAAAGAATAACTATCATACTATAATAATATCTTGAGACCTTTAATTACAATAATCTCCAATCTCATTTTAAGGCTAAAAAATATGTAGAATAGAGATATTACCTTCAGAGGACCTTGAAACGCTTTCTTTCAGAAATGACCTGAATGACCTTGATCCTTTCATATTAAAGTTGTGTTACTCAAACTCATACCACTCAAATTTGAGTCTCTGTGAGTCATAGTTGCTGAGAAAATTGCAAGAAACAAGGGTAAAAATAGCTGAATAGCCCCATAAATCTTAATTCACTATCAAAGACATATTGCACTTTTATCAAAAAAACGTTGCATTAGGTATTTGGTCAAATGCCAAATCTAAAAAATCATTTATATTAAATGATTTCAAATATTCCTGACTCTCCTGCTTCTAAATAGTAATCTTTGCAAGGATATATACATGTATACATTTATATTCAACCGTTAATTTATTTTATATAGTATTCTATGGAAAATAGAAACAAAATTTTCAGCAAAAGAATTGAGTGATTTATCAAGTTTTTGTTTTGAGTATCATCGTATTGAAGACAAATTATTGACATGAAATTTCGCGACTTAAAAAATTTTGAATAATAATACGTACATAACAAAATTTTCAGTATCCAATACTTTGAGTGAGTGAAGTTACTAATAGTTGAAAATATCTAACTTATTGTCAAGTGATTGCTAGAGAGCTGAGAGTAAAAATGATAAACAGAATAAGATTGATAGAAAATCAAATATCGAATATATTAATACTTAATAGATGATATCATCAAATTTAACTTTGAAAGATTCATTATGAAGGATAGAAATTGGGTGAGAACTGAAAAGATTTGTCGGTAAATTAGGATTGATGAAGCTTTTGAATATCATCATGGTGAATACAATTGACATGAAAACAAATTCATCATTGTGATTATCAAACACAATTATTGATCTAAAAGTTTTAAAGTAAACAAAGTTAAATTTGAGGTCAACTACTTACCTCCGATAACTTTACATGTAATATTGATTGTATCTTCTTCATTATAAGGACCTCCAATAGCTTTTATTTCATTACCATGGGAATCGTAAATTTCAATGGAAGCAACTGGAACTATTAAATTGGTTATTTATAAAAATCAGTGAGAAAAAAAGTTTTGATATAATGATTAGAACGGTAATATACTTGATAGCATGAAGGCAATTATTTTCCTGGAAAAATTATCAATTGTTTCACAACGATAACTTATCATGTTGAATGATTAGTTTGAATTAATTCAAATACTGAGATAAAAAGGAAAACTAAGTGAGTGAATAATATTTATACAAATTATATGAATACTGATTCTGTGGATGAAACAATAATCAATATTAACTTTGGCAACTTTGATTTAATCTGATTAATGTTTAATGTTAACTCTTGGTGATTGATGAACATGAATCGTTGAATTAATTGTACAATTGTAACGGAAAACGGAAATCAGGTAGTTTTCAGGTTTCGTTTTCTAGTTAATTACTCACTAAAGCCAACCTTTATTACCATGATTTGAATCGTTTAATAAGAAACGATTACAATGAAAGTAAATATTAAATTTCTGAATAAATACCCACCCATGGAGTTAATATAAATGATAATTATCATCATATATATCGTGGACGCTGATGATTATCATCTCAGATATTATCAGATCTTAAATAGTATTAGATTTTTTTCGCTCATGTTATTGATTGATAAATATAATGTTGATCATTTAACCTTGATTGTAATGAGATTAACTAATATAAACAATTATGATGATAAAGATAATCTATTATCATCTAAGATAATAAACTGATTTTGATAAATTTTATCGGTAAGATGATGAAGTAAGAAAAGATAAGTCGATAAATCGTTTTTTTGAAAAAATCTATTGCCTGGAATTGGGAGAAACTTTTAATCCCATAATAACCTTGAGTCAAGGTAATTATCTGACATTGGGAGTTATTTGGGTGCAAAGTTAGAATGATGGTTAAGGTGGGGCTATGGATGATGATGGATATTAGTCCATTTTCACAAGAAACATAATCATCATCATCATCAACTGAGGAAAAATTAAATTCCCTCGATAGTTTCTGTCCAATCATGGACATTTCATTTCCAACCAATTCTGATGGTTACTAAATGAATAATCTTTTTCTTTCCATCTTCATCATCAATAATAATAATAATATTTCATCTTCCTTCCTTACCTAGAGTTTCAATCATCGACATCATTAAATATATGTAATATTAAAAGACTTGTAGTACTGGTCATCATTATCATCATCAGGTAACAGGGGATGGATAAAGGTAAATTTAACATAAGTATCTCTCTCTCTCTCTCTCTCTCTCTCTCTCTCTCTCTCTCTCAGAATGAATTATCATCATGATAATGGTGTTTAATGAAACAATGAACCATAAAGACAAAAAGCTCAGGTAATACAATCATGTACAATTATGTATAATCATTGTGTCAGGTATTTATCATGAACAACTTTCAGGTAAATTGTTCATCATCTGAATTTTGAATCAATATGTATAAGTTAGGTAACATTAAAAAACAATCATTATAAATACAAATACCTGAGTATACACATAAAGGTAACATTAATGACATGATAATATGAAATAAAAATGTATATAAAATCAAATAATCAAAAACAATGGTAACATGATGATAAATACAATTAAGTTTGGTCATTAACTTTTAGATTCTGTCAATTAAAATGAATAATCATCTGAATGAGATCAGTTATTTTTACCTTTTTTCAAATTTTAATCGATTGCATTAATAACTTCACCAACTAAATGTCAATAATAATCAAATTAAAGGTAAAAACTTTCAATCGATATTAAATTATGACAGTTAAAGTTTCGCCATTCTAATTATTATGGTAATAAAAAACAAAAAAGAAAAAGTTTCAAAAGTTTTGGTTACATTGAATGGAGAAACTTGTAGTTTCTTTTCATGACCATCTCATGTAAATGCAATTGTATCTAGATTCATGTTCATTCCCATAGAGCTGCGAGTTTACTTAGCAAAGAATCATGATTACCATTTGAAAGTTATTCTGGTTCATGTTGGCTTAAAATTCAGGGAGTGAAAAGATATGAATTTTTTTTGGTTTCTCATAATTTTTTCTACTTCTATTTGAGTTGAATAATGAAAGTGAAATTTACTGAACTTGAGTGGAAAATTGCTCTGAATAGGAAAATAAGAAATAAAATAAGAATTTGAATTTGAATTTCAAATGAAAAAGTTTGGAAAATATGAAAGTTAGAAAGTGATCTAGAATAAGATAAGTTCATGAGAGGCCATGAAAATTTCAGTTCAATTGTTGTTGTTGTTGTTGTTTGTGAGAAGTTAATTGAATTTTCTTTGACAATTGAAAATAGATAAATAAATTTAGGAATCAAGTGAAAGTTTTTAAATTGAATTAAACTCTTACCTATTACTTGAAGTGTAATTATCTTGTTGATTGTTCTTGTTTGTCTAAAATCAACTCGACAACGATAAATACCAGTGTCTATCCTTTTAACAGGTTCAAGTATCAAATATGATATTGGTTCAGTTAATTGTAGTTTAACTCGATTCTTGAAATAATCATTGATAAAATGTTGAGCTTCATTTAAGGACGATGTTCGAGAGTCTATTGTGTAAATTGGTGTACCAATATCCTCTCGATACCACATGATGAGTAAAATTTTATCTTCCCTCCAGGCAGGACTAATATTACAGGGTAACTGAGCTATCTGACCCTCGGGTATCCTGTATTCAAGAGGCTCTGATTTCAAATAGAGAGAGGGAGAGATGAAAAAAGGAGATCAGAATTAAAGATGATGATATTTCAGAATGGATGAGCTCAACTATTATTATTATGAGATGATAACAATGAAAATTTTTCTTCTTTGTTCAATGAGAATACTGAGAAGATGAATGAAAAGAAATCATCTCGATCGGAATCAAGTCTAATGAGTTTCATGAATGAATAATATTTACCGAATTTGTGTAAATTCAATGAAATTGATTTCAAGTTAATCAGTAAGATGATTGTGATGATTAAATTTGGTATCATTTTGTAATCCAAGTTTCCTGTTTAAACTTTTCACTGGTTTCATAATACATGGTGACAGTTCACATTCATAATCATACATAACTGTTTAGGTGAATAATTTAGCACAATTTAAATTGAAAATTGGATTAATCATATTAGTTCAATGTTACCTTTCAACTTTTAATTGAAGTGTTTATTGATTGTAATAGATCACAATTAATGTTCACTAGTCAATGAAAATTTCTACCAGAATGAGTTTATAAGTTGATTTAGTCATTTATGCGCTGGTTCGAGAAATGTACAAACTCGATTCGTAGGGAGTGACATCTACATGATGGAAAATGAAAGTAAAAGGGAAAACAACTTTTCTAATCAGCAAAAAGGTTTCAAATTTGCCGCTTGAACAGAAAAGAATAGTTCATTTACCATATTAGAGATGGCAGTGAATTGATCGTAATTTAAGAAATTAAAGTCACAATCAAGGTAATTAAATAGATTGATCAAGGTAAATGATCTCATAATTGTAAGAAATCAAGTGCAGCGTATTGTAGTTTGAATTTTCGATCTCTCAACTGGTTGAACTTTTTGAATTTCAGACGTTTAATCAGCTGTTCAATGAGTTTCCATGAATTCATCAAAAAGAATCGGTCATTGATTCCAATTAGACCCAAGTTCAACAATCAAATTGTTAATTCATAAAGGTACTTTCACTAATTGGATGAGGTTGGAAGATACAACTTAATATAACCATGGAAAAATGATCATGCTAATGATCAACAACAACAATAGCAATCAAGGTTTAATATCGACGATATTATTTTCCATGACAATTAACCGAGATATTTAATAATTGGTGAATAGAGACTCTTATTTGTCACAATTTAGATTAATTGAGAGTTGATAGTCCATAAAGAATCCTTAGCTGTAAATAATTAAAGAGTGGTTGATTGTTGAAGGATAAAACAATGGGATAATAATAATTTAGTACAAGAGGATTAGTTTAATGTTTAAGACAATTTACCTAAATTGTGAATTGAATAAAGTTGATTAAAATGAGCGGAAAGCAATGAAACAATTTATAATCCTCTTGGAGTTATAAAAAGTTATGATTGTGTAGAGCAATTTTCAGCAATTACCATTGATTAAACAATTAAAGTGATTAACTTAAATCATATCTGTGTGTTTATCTATTGTTAAGATTTACATTTATCTTAATCATTAAACAATGTGATTAAGACAACGAGGTGGGTTGATTGAAGGTGGTGGATCTTGTTGATTACATGATGATGGTGGGAAAATGGTCAGTTCAGTTTCACTGGACAGAGATTGGTTTTTACAGATAAGAGTAAATGACAAACAGGATGATGATTATGATGATGATGTAGGGAAAAGTTGACAGAATTTGTGTAACAATTAAAGTCACTATTTACTCTTATTATTAATTAAACAATTAAAGAATCAAGGTCAAAATCTGATCAAAGTTGACGGTTAAGATAATTTTTCATCTTCATCAGCGCCTCTTCCTCAGGGTGTCTCAGGTTATTTAACATGGAAAGATTATCCAAATGAATAACTAATTATCTAATCAACTAATCATAATTTTAACTTTTCTTTGTATTGTTTATATGTTATTATGATTTAGTAATTGTTGTTCTTGCTGTTAAACAAAATGAATGACAAATTAAATTCAGTTGTGAAATTTATTGAACAAACTGAGGAATCATGATAAGTTTCAAAAACCTTGAAACTTTCAACTAACTCAATAACTTTAATTGGACTTGATAATTGTTTCTACAATTAAGGTAATCTTTTGTAATTTAATTGTCCATCGTCCAATGGTCAGTAATGGTCAAGTATGATTCATTAGGATCTCATGAATGATTGGTAAAATTTTCAATTAGAATTGAATTTAAATTGTCACAATTAAAAGGGAAACAACTGTAAGGATTGAAGATTTTTGTTTAATCAATTTAACCTTTCACCTCTATGGTAATCAGTCATCAATCTTGTTTCTAATTATTTGGTTACAATTTAGCTTTTATTTATTTTCCAGTGAAAAACAATGTAACTAAATCAACAGCATCTGAACACTTAATTGTTGTTGATTAAATGATATAACTCATCAATCATAATCATAATCAAAGTAAATCAACTTGTCAACTTAAAAATGATGAATCTGAACAATTAATTTGTTGATTTGTTTTAAAAGGTAAGGTAAAAGTTACCAACAATTTAGTTCAATAACAAATTAACGTTAATTGTTGTGATGATCACAAGTAAAAAGTTAATTACTTTCAGCTCTAATTAGATGATTTAACCTGTATAATTATTATTAGCAAATTTATCTATGTATTAATAATATCATATGAATACCAAATCAGCTGAACGTAAATCAAATTCAATAGCAATTAAGAGATGATGTCTTATTTTAATCATCACCATTTAAAATACCCTAAGATAATCATGATTAAGGTAATTAAAGGAGTCGATAATTGAGCAATTTGTCTGACTGTTTACCAACAATTAACCAACAATTCAAATTCTTACCAAGTAATCAGAAGAAAAAAAAAATTCATATTGATGAATTAACTTGAGGCACTTTGGTTAATCATATTATCGTTACAATTGTAAATTGTTGTATAAATTTCAACGTAGTCTATACATTGGTAATTTAATGTTGATTAATTATTTCAATTGTTATAACTGTTGAGAAACAATTACCATAATTAAATAATAAACTAAACTTGACCAACCTTAATCAGATGATTAATTCAATGATTTTATCACATTGAGAGTAATAAAATGTTGTATCCATTTACCATAAACAAATACACCAATGGTCATTAAATATTTATCGTTATTGTTTATTATCACAATTATGATTATCTTGATTAAACAACATTGATGATTAAGTAATAAAAATTTTCAACATAAATAATATCATAATCAAGATATTCAATTGATTGAAGCTTATTAATGGTAATCAATACACAATCGTAACAATTAGCTGTTGAAAGATATGATTGCTTATCTGATTTGATTTGATTTGATTTGATTATAATCAATAGGTTTACCTTTTTTTTCATTGAATAATTTAGCAATCGACTTGAAAATTGACTTTTACAATCATATCGTATCATTGATTAATGGTGTTTCTTTTTGATTTTGATATCAACGACAAAGATGATTATAAAGTGAAGGATTAATGTTGAGGTCACTTAGGTCAACCAAGTGGTGATTATGTTGCCAAAAGGTTACAATTAATATGATGGATCAAGATTGATGTCAACCCATGTGAGAAGAAGATGAGGATGAAAGGAAGGAGGTTCGTATGAGAAGAGGCAAAGGAAGACAGAGAAAAAGGGGTGTCCCTTTTGAGCCATTTAGTGTAGTTTCTTCTTCAGGTATCATCTACTTCCGATGTATCAGGAAAAGGTAGAAAAGATGATGAACAGAGAGAGAGAGAGAGAGAGAGAGAGAGAGAGAGAGAGAGAGAGAGAGAGAGAGAGAGAGAGAGAGAGAGAGAGAACTGATGAGGCAGATTAAGGGAGACAAGAGAAAAGAACAAAAAAGTAAATAGAGAATTTTGTTCTTATTCTAAGGTAAAGTTATCTTCTGTTTCAGAACCTGAATCAAAGTAAGAAAATGATAATGATAATATTTGAAGGAAAAAAAGAGCTACAGCAATTAAAATAATTTTCTGCTTCGCTTGAGACGATTCTTGTTCATCTTTCTTTGCGAAACACTCATAATTAGGCTTTATAAGAATAAACTTCTCTTCCATCTTCATCATTTCTCCATCCCTCTACCTGTATTTTTACATATTAGCAAAAATAAAGAAAACACAAAAATGATTCTGTCACAAACTAAGTTACAGTTTAACATTATCTTCAATTAAAGAATCAACATCCGGACCTGAATGGATGAGTATCATTATCAAGGTAAAACTTGGTAAAGCAATCGTCTTCCAACACCACCACTGCCACCACCAGCACCACCGATACCTGAACTCACCTCCCACTCATCATCATCATCAACATCATCATCTTTCAATGACATTTACAATAATCCATCTATCACTAGTTCAACAGACTAAATCGAAAATAATATTCAACTTTTTTTTCTAAATGAATAGTTTTCGGTCTATTAGAACTTTTTCTCTCTCTCTCTCTTGACTTTCCATTACTTTAATTGTTATCATAATTATCATTTGCATAAAATTATCCATCATGTTGTTACCTGAAAGTTTATCAAAAATCACAAAGATTCAAGCCAATATAAAATAGTTAATAATTGGTGTGAATTAATTTCATGATCAATTGTGTGGTAATTGTTAATATTGTTCAATGTACTAATACATATTAAGGGAACTGATTAAAAGTAAATGTTGTAAACACTTTGTTAATTGTGATTCAATGATTTAAAGAAATTAGCAGACACAATTAGTAGTTAAAGTTGTACTATTGATACAAATGTAATGTAGTGTCATTATATACATTTAATTTGTTAAAGAGAAAGTTGGAAAAACTTTAATCACTTAAACTGTTGACATTAATTGCTATTTGTTGATTAAAGGTAAAATTTCAAGGTTAATTGTGTATATTGAAACTTTGAGAATCAGGTAGAAAAAGAAAACAAAGTTTAACAATTTAACAGATGAAAACATGATAATAATACTACTTTAATGATGTAAATCAATTAAAAATAATTTATGATGATATGAGTTTTTATTGCCAATACAATATAAACATGATAACATTTTATTAGATAAACATTATTATAGATGTTAACAAATTCAGAAGTCTGAATGAATCGTAATGATATTCACAATGAATTTTACTTGCATGGAATCAGAAAATCTTGAAAAGTTATCATGAAAATAAACAGAATATGTCAACTTAGCTAAATGATAGTAAAAACTATTATTTACAAATTGATTGAGTTTAAATATCATGAATGTTACCAAATTACCAGTTACTTGGCGTTTACAAATGATACTCAGGATTTCAATTGAATTTCCAGTTAATAATTGAATTGAACCTGAATTAGTTTCGTCATCATTTTTTTTTATTGAAGAGTTTGTTTTTTTTTCTCACAGCATCTTGACTTACACCAAAGCTACTCTCTCACTTAGCTTTGCATCCTCATCCCTTTTAAATTTCATTCATTGTAATATCATCATGATTATTATTACAAAACTTTCTCTCTTACAATCTAACCAAAGGTCTTAACCCCCTGTA